AGTGGGTGGATCAGAAATGTAGTGGGTGAGGACGTCTGCCCCGAATGTACTGGGACTAACGCACCCCGCGCACCGCTTTTAGGGCTTGAAATCCATCGTCGGAGCTTTGTTTTGGATGGAGTCGGGTGGGCTTGATGGACTCGTAGTATGTATGACACTGACTCCGCCCGTCCCTCCCACGCTGACAAACCTTCATAGCGCCGTAGTTCCTGACGCTTGTCCGAGCCGTTGACGGCACAGAACCTCTGTGACACCTTACAAGGTACCTTTCAGCCTGCTAGCAGTTTCGTACAGCATCTAATCAGCCCGCAGCTGCACTCCTCAATTGCTTATTCTGTGTTCGTAGACCTTTCCTCCCTCCCTGCCCTCCTTCCCTCGACGCACTCCGAAGGCCGAGTAACGCCACAGCGTAGGAGGTGTGCGTCCCCTTCTTTCACTTCATGTCACGTCAGCTCGCTAATTATCTATATATCGACGCCTACTTGCTCGATCGAACAGCGCAAAGCCTTCAAATTGGATTAGCGATAAGTTTCCGAGCTGACTCTATTCCCAACCATCTGATTCCACTTCCCGCGGTCCGGCGCTTAACTTTTTGCCTTATAGGGTGCACATTCAAGTGAGCAGTTCCCTCTTCCCATCGGCCACGAGGCTAACGTGATTTCTGATTAGGCGAGTTCAACAATACTTTCACCGACTGTACTCGCAAATTTTCCACTTTGTTTGCTTATCCTAACTTCTGCTTGGTAGAATGTAGTATTAGGTCGAATTTGCGCCGTGGTGAGTCATCTATTTCTTTTCTTTTCTGTCTCAATCCGTCTGATTTCTCCGTAGGTCGCTTCGGAAATCGACTTGAGCATGCGGCGGGGGTCTGAAGTGGTCAGATTAGGTATATAACCGTGTATTTATGTATAAGTAATAGATTTATTGTGAGACCTCATCTCAAGTGAAATACACAATCAGGCTGATTGAGCGGTTCAATCAAACTGATTGACTGGACGCACTCAGGTTGAGTGTACCACACACTCAACCCGAGTGAGATTTCTGCCAAAAATCAATCAGCCTGAGTGTAACCTTACACTCAGGCTGATTGACCCTCGCACTCGACCTGAGTGATCCGATACACTCGGGTTGAGTGATTCGATACACTCAAGCCGAGTGTAATCTCTCCCCACAGTGTTTTGCTTCCGAAGCAACCATGTGTTACACACCTGATCTGCTGCTCCAACCACACCACCAGAGTCTGTTGCTAGGGTTAGCCCAGTGACCCAATCAAACCCACCGAACAAAGGTCGCCTGTGTCGATTTGAGATGCTTTTTACGGGCCGCCTTTGTCCTTGAATGCATGGATGCCCCCCGAATGCGGGCCGGCACCAGTAGACTCGCGGACAAGCAGGCCCCTCGGAACAACAATGGATAATTCGCAGGCGGCCGGAGGCTTTCTCATGGCCTATATAATGAGATGGCCAGGAATTAGAACACACTAGTACCTCCTCTGGCAAAAACTATGTTGGCAGCACTTTCCATCTTGGCACTCACTCTCGCGGCGACTCCAGCTCTTGCATTCATTGAATGCAATGTTTTGAATTATGGCGCCGTTGCAGACAACTCCACCGACCTTGGCCCGGCGCTCACCAAGGCGTGGCAGAGCTGCGTTATCCCGGCAGTCACGACGACGGTGGCGGACAACGTCCTGTTGTACGTCCCCTCAGGCAATTTCCTCCTCGCCTCAACTGTGACCTTCGACGATGCTGCGAATTGGAACCTGCATATTGCAGGTAACATTTACCTGCCATACAACCCAGCGTTGACGGGCACCATGCTCACTTTTGAGGTTTGCATCCCTTTTTTCATGTGCCGAATCTCGGCTGAACAATGCGACTACATAGAATTGCCAAAACATTCTCTTGAACGGACCCGGTGCCATCTATGGCAATGGTTACCGCTACAGGCCGGGTGGCGATGTACGTTTTAGGCTCGCTGTTCGATTTTAACTCAGTTGTCTCCGCAGCTCACCTTGAACCCGAACCGCCCCCGTCTCATCCGGTTCCAGAACTGCAACGAGTATGTCCCGACCCTGACTTGAACCCGATTTGACTCACCTGTATCTGTAGCTGCGAAATCACGGCGGTGACACTCTATGACTCTCCGCAATTCCATGTCACAATTATTGGTAACAAGTAAATTCATTTCGAGCCGTTGTTGTGAACCTTTTTCATGGACTTTAGCAACGTGGCGCATGACATGGCTATCATCGCCAGCCACATCGGTGAGACTGACGGTTTCGACATGAGCGGAAACAACAAGTGCGTCTTTTTTTGTGCTTGGGGTGTACATTTATTTTTTGACAGCTATGTGCACGACGTTTCTGTGGAGAACGGTGCGTCCCATTGTCGGAACAATATAACGAATGATTAATTTTCCACCAGGGGATGAGGTCGGAATTTTTCTCTCGCAATAACTACGGCTGAACTTCTCTATTCGGATAGTGTGTTACCGTCAAGACGCCCACGAACGTAAATACCGGGATTGATCCTGGGAAAGATACCGAAATGCTCACCATGCGCATAGGGTTTTGTTGCAGAGCGGATTACGTGCAAATGGACCGCTGGATGCAACATCGGCAGTTTTGGGGGTGGTATGTACTATATCCTTCTACACTTTCTTCGATACCGACACACGTATAGACAACACTGCCGTCGACGTGCAGAATGTTGTCTATACCGACGTGTATGAGTTACTTCCCGTCCTTCACCTCGCGTTTTTCTGAGTTGGGTCTCTGAAATGGCAGTACTATCTCCAACTCTGACGCCGGGGTCATGATCAAGTCGTACCCGGACAACATCGGAATCGTGAAGAACATCACATACAACGATTTTACTCTGGTGGGTCTTCCTTTTATTCTGTGCGTTCGCCTCCATTTACTGCGAATACAGTCTGCTGCGGCGTACCCTCTCTGTGCGTTCAATTTCCAGGTTTAGTGTTTGTGCGCTGACCTCCGGATAGACATCAGTGTTTTCTGGTAGGCTTCCCGCTCATAATGATGGTGTGGCGTGTCTGAATTCACCTCCTCAATAGGGCCGGGGACGGCGATGACACGGGCAAGCTTCAGATCTCGGACGTGACTTTCAACAACATCGCTGTACGTTAATCCCTCCCTCTGGTTACTCCTAAAATATGACCAGATCTATGCAGGGAACCGGCACGCCCACGCGTCCCGCCGTGCTCTTGGACTGCAACGCCGCCACCCCCTGCCAAAATATCAACGTGCCTTTTTATTTTTATTTCAATTGGAAAACATTATTGACCACGGCCTGCAGTTCAACGGCATATCCCTCACGGACACAAAAGCCGATTCGTTCACGCACGCGTGCGGGACGGGTCTGAGCGGTCTTCCCGCTTGCTGAGGTGGAACGGGTTAGCAAAGATATCCTAGTTGACCTACGAATATGCCCTCTGTCTTGATGAACCACTCCAACTTTTTTCACGTTGACCCAGTCGGCTGAGAATCCGATGAACACACCCCTGATGACCCGGGGTGCCACCACCACTGATCGTGAGTGCTGATGGTCTTCCCTAAAAGGGGTTCACACTGCGCATTCCGGACATTTGTAGGTTCATCTCGCCAGGACATATCCCACTTTCACCGATTTTGTCTACAAATCGACCGGCACAGTGCACATAACGCTACTCGATACTGTTCGGTGTTTTTACCCTTGGCTTGGCGTACCGTCAACCGTTACAACGATTGAAGACGACGGATTCTGAGCGGCTGATACTTACCACGATGTCAATAGCACCCTCGATCTCCCCACGTCAAACATCCCGGATCTGGAGAAACTTTGGTAGGTTTATTTCGCCGGGTATCCTACAGTCGCCGCTCCATATAAATCAACCGCACAGCCGACGATACTACGCAACATCTTGCGATGCCGTCCCGCATATTTGCCCTAGTCTTAAGTAACAGCCACCGAATTCATCAACGTCGTCGATAACATTTTACCTTACCCCCTCTTAGCCCTGCTTATGAACCAACCTACCCATACTTTACCTATATTCGTACTACTCAATTAACTACAAGATACCTACTTTATCACCATCCGGCCCCTCACGAACACTTTTCGTACTGCTGTCTTAGCCTCCCCCGGCCACGTACAGTAACTAGCTTGAAATTCAATCAATCACTCAAGCTAACATTTTGTACACAAGATGCGACCTTGGCTCTTTTGCCGACGTCTTATGCACAAGTAGTCGGCCGATTCGGTGAGGTGAATACCGTGGGGGAAGTCTGGGACGTGCGACGTAACAGATCTTCGAGTCGGAGGCCGTCAAGGCGCAGCTCCAGCCAGAAGCTGACGATTATACATAATCCAGTCCGGACTAGTTCTCGTGAGCACTCCAAGTGCCAGCTTCTCCAGTCCAATTAAGATAGGAGACTACGACCGTGTCTCCTACGTCGTCTTTTGTCCTGCTTATACATAATTAACAATAGAAATTCTACGCTTAACATCGCCGATGTGTCGTGGTTCAATTTTCTCCTTTCCCGTCACTTAGTTGAATTTCCGTGGCTGTGCAACCAAGGTTGAACTGTTCCGTTCGTTCACTAACAGCAACGATTTGTGAGCAGCAGTGCCCAAGCAAGCTCAGTAACCGGTCCTGCTCATACTTGATCGGTCGTACTCGAGCCCAAGTCAGTGCATCCAAGGTTGTAAAAAAAACCTTTCTCAAATATGAGATATTCCCGATTCAATCCACCCACAAACTCAGCCTCCTTGCCCATACATACTTCTTCGATCCTACCTTGCAATCTGGTCAAGCGCGGAAATTTCTCTAAGTTTTTTTGTCTTAGTGCATTTTTTGCATTTCTTACACACAGCCACTTCCGATATGGAGTGTTCGCACCGTATCTCGACCATTTCTAATTCGATTCACTGACTTCCTCGACTCTTCCGAATCAAAATCGTCCTCCCGTCATGTTCGCCATCTTCTCAAGTTGTCGCTAGACACTGATGGTGAAGCGGTTATCATGCTTGCCTTCCACGGGAATATTCAAAAAACCAGCAAGCGGCAGGGGTTCGACTCCCCTTCAGTGTATTCTTTTGGCTTTTTTCCCTCGCGCTACTACTACTACTACTACTACTACTCTTTTGAATCCATCTCCCATGCCCACCCACCGCCATAATGTAATCGAACCATGTATCCATAAATCCAAACCGTCCGTCCGGCGAATATATCGTCAGTAGCATATATCTTCTATTAGCATCCACCCAGCCTCCGCGCGCATATGCGCAGATCCACGCCACACGGGCACGCACGCGCTGCTATCGCAGCTCCACGGGCCACTCGCTGCGCCGGCGCCAGCGCCCGTCGGCGTCGAAGCGCGGGTTGGGGCGGTACGAGAGGCCGTCGCCGAGGGGGGCGCCGATGGGGACTGTGTGGAAGTGGTTAGCGGGGACGACGGGCGTGAGAGAGGGAGAAGTAGAGAATAAGAAAGAATAGGGGAATGAAGGAACGAGGACGAGGTGGAGCAGTGGAGCGCGAGGGTGAGGCGGGGGGGAGGGGACGTAGGGCGACGAGGGGGAGGGGAGGGGAGCAACGGGAGTGCATAGAGGACGGGCGACAGCGTATGGGATGGGAAAGGAGGAAAGATATTACGACGACAAAAACGGGACACGGGAGGCGGGGAAGGAAGAGCGACGGGACACGAAGATGGGAGGGCAGGAGGGATGGGAAGGGAGGGTAATGTCGAAGGCAAGCAGGGACGACGGGAGGGATGGGAGGGAGGAAGGAATGGGATAGGAAGAAGGGAAGGAAGAAGGACAGAACGACAACAGAAACGGGATACGGGAGGCGGGGAAGGAAGAGCGACGAGACACGGAGGGATGGGATGGGAAGGAGGGAGGGAAGGATGGGAAGGAATGGAATGGTGGAAGGAGGGGAGGAAGGGAAGAGAGCCAAGAAAGGAGGAAGGATAGAACGACGAAAGAAACAGGACACGGGCGCGTGGAAGGAAGAGCGACAAGGGGAGGGAAAAGGGAAAGATGGAAGGAGGCAGGGAGGGATGGGATGGGAAAGGAGGAAGGAGGAAAGTGTAGAACGACGACAGAAACGGGACACGGGCGCGTGGAAGGAAGGAAGAGCGACGAGACACGAAAACGGTCGGGCGGGGAGGGGAGGGTAACGTCGAAGGCAAGCAGGGACGACGGGAGGGATGGGAGGGAGGGAGGAATGGAATGGTGCCATAAGAGGGGGAAGGATAGATGGAACACGGGAGGCGCAGACGGGAAGGAAGAGCGACGAGACACGAAGATGGGAGGGCGGGGAGGGGAGGGTAACGTCGAAGGCAAGCAGGGACGACGGGAGGGAGGGCGGAGGGAGAGAATAAGAAGGATTGGAATGGTGCTGGGGGGAGGGATGGATGGGATGGGAGCCAAGAAAGGAGGAAGGATAGAACGACGAAAGAAACAGGACACGGGCGCGTGGGAGGAAGAGCGATAGACACGGAGGGAGGGATTGGAAGGAAGGGAAGGGAAGGAACGCGAGCCAAGAAAGGGGAACGGATAGAGACGACAAAAACGGACGGGCGCGTTGAAGGAAGAGCGACGAGACACGAAAACGGTCGGGCGGGGAGTAAAAGATAACGTCGAAGGCAAGCAGGGACGACGGGGGCGAGAGAGAGAGGATAAGGAGGAAGGAGGAAGGAGGGAACGAGGGAAGGAGGACGACGCCGAGGCGTAGCAGTGGATCGCGAGAATGAAGCGAGGAGGGGAGCGATTGGGGTAAATGAAGAACGAACGAAGCGTCGAGCGGCGGAAAGGAGAGGAATCGCGATAAAACCCCCCATGAAACCTCAAAGAACGAGCGAGAACAAGACACTCACAAACCCACCCCCACCCACTTCGCCCCATCACGTCCTCCCACCCCGCGCGCGCGGACCCCGCCCACCACAGGTTCCCCTCCGTGTTCGGCGCGCCCCACTCGGCGTCGTAGGCCGCGCGTGCGCGGCGTTTTGCGCTGTGGAAGGAAAGGGGGGAGAGGGTGTTAGTGTGTGTGTATGGGGAGGAAGTGTTTGGATAAGGATGAGGAAAGAGCGCGGGAACGGGCGTGCGTGCGTGCGTGCGTGTGTCCCCGAAGAGGAGAGCGTGCGTCCCAAGGAAAGAAAGACATCCCAAGCCACGAAAGCAAACCACTCACCCAACCTCCCACCACCTCACGCCCGCCTCCCTGAGCCCCGCGCCCTCGCGCTCCGTGAGGCGCTGCACGGCGAGGCTCTCGACGGTCGTCTGCGAGAGGAGGACGAGGCGCGTGTGCGCGGCGCCGAGGGAGAGGGTGAAGAGGGCGAAGAGGGCGGCGCTGGGGGGGGGGGGGTTAGCGTTGGTGCGGTTAATTGAAGAGAGAGAGGAGGGGAGGGGAGAGAAAGAGGGAAGGGGAGAGAGAGAATGAGAAGGAGAAGAGGGCGAAAGGAGCGGCGAGTGAAAGGCGCGGGAGAACGGCATTCGGAGGGACGGGGACGAGGACGAGAAAGTTTGGAGAGAACGAGGGAGGAAGAAGGGGAAGAAGGGGGAGCGACAGTAGGAGTATGGCGGTCGGCGCGGGGGAAAGGCGCGGGGGCGGCGTTCGGAATAAGGCGGAGGGACGAGGACAAGAAAGTTTGGAAAGAGGGGTAGACGGGTAGAGCGGGAGGGGAGGGGGGATAGAAGGAGCGGCGAGAACGAAAGGCGCGCGATAGTGGTGTTCGGAAGAACGCGGAGAGGGACGAAAAAGTTTGGAGAGAGGGGTAGACGAGCGGGAGGGGGATGGGGGACGGGAACGGATGCGACAGCGACAGCGAATGCGAAGGGAGGGATGGATAGAGGGAAGAATGCGGCAGGGCGGGGAGGACGAGAAGGATGGAGGACGGAGATGGGAGAGGCGCAAGGCGAGGTCGAGCGGGACGGGGTATCCCAGCAGTGCGGTTCGCGTTGGCGGGAGGGATGAGAGGACGGTGGACGGTGTGGTGTGGTGTGGTGTGATGCGGGATGGGATGGAACGGACGAGCGACGCCCTGCCGAGGAGGACGGACGTGGATGTGGATGCGGGATGGAATGCAACGGAGCGGCCGAGCGACGCCCCGCGGAGAAGGGATGCGGATGTGGGCGTGGATGTCGGGAAACGGAAGTAAGAGTACGAGTAGGGACAATGGGATTGAATCGGATTGGAAACGAGACACGTGGAAGCAAGAAAAAAAACCACGCACAGCGCGATAATAACCACCTCCTGCGGGTCCACGTCGCCCTCGCCCACCGCTTCCGCTTCCCGCCCGGAGACGTTGACGTTAAAAGCGAGCAGCGACGCAAAGGTGTACGTCGTGAGTGCGAAGGTGGCGTAGGAGAAGTTGAGGAAGAACTACGGATGGGGGGGGGGGGGGGGGGGGGTTAGTTAATTAGGGTTAGCGGTGAGTGGGAGGGAAGGAAGGAAGGAGGAAGAGGGGGAAGGAGGGGGAAGAATGGGAGGGAAGGAAGATGGGTGGGAAGTGGGAAGGGGAGAGAGGGAAGAGTGGGAGGGGAGGAGAGAAACGCACCTTGTGGTTCCGCGCGCCGACGCACTGCCCGATCCCTGGATGGATTCATGATGAGTAAGCCGCCGAGAAAGAACGAGGACGAGGAAGAGGACGAGAACGAGGAGGAGAAGGGGGAGAAGGAGATGGAGAACGAAAAGGAGAAGGAGGAAAGGGAAAGGGAAAGGGAAAGGACACGCACAAGGACAGTGGTGGTCGAACTTGAGTATGCACTGGGGACGAAAACGGCAGTCAGCATCACATCGCATCTACGCGCGTACCCAGGAACTAGAGAGAGACACGCGAAAGAAAGAAAACCACACGCAGCACGCACCGTCCCACAGACCCGACAATGATGCGCCCTATACGGCTTCACGATCGAGCAGCGCGCGCACCAGCGGTGCGGCGGGAGGAGCGCGGCTGTCGTCGGCGGGAAGCGCCCGCGCGGGGTGCGGTGGCGTTTGCGCTCTGGGGCGGGGGCGGGGGCGTTCCCGTTGGCAGTCCGATTGACGGCCCCATTCGCGCTTGCAGCAGCCCCGTTCGCAGGCAGGGGCAGCGACGTGCCGGGGACGTGCGCCGCAGGGGGCTCCCCACCCGCACCCGTATTCTTGTTCTTGTTATTGTTTTCATTAGCATTCGAATACGCCTCGTACGCGGGGCCCCCAATGCGTCCGGCCTCGATATCCGCGAGGGACGCCCCATCGTCGTCGTGCGCGGACTGCGGGGGCTCCCACTGCCCGCGGGGGAAGAGCGGTTGCGGCGTTTTGGAGACGTACTGCGGGAGATGAGGGGATGCACAGAATAGGAATAGGGAAGAAGGGAAGGAGGGCACGCACGTCGCAGGCGTTGCCCGGGGGCGTGGTGATTGCCTGCGGAGGCTCGTTAGCTTGGATTTCGGGGCGCACTCAGGAGGCCCTGCAGAAGAACGACGACGCACCTTGATATACGCCCACACCATCCACCCGAACAGCGGACACCACCCCACCAGCAGCCCGACTACGCCATCGCGAGTCAATCCACATCCCACCAACGAAGAAACACCACTCACTCCCATCCGCCCTTCTCCCGCCATGCATCAGCCGCACCGCAAACCGCCCCGCATAGACGTACGCGGTGTACCCCATGATCCCGAGCACGATGGGCACCATCAGCTTGCGCACGACCCACGTCTGCGGCTTGCTCCGCCGCGCCTCGCGCCGCTCGCGTGCAGTGTACCGCGCCTCCGATATCGTCCCGCAGAGCGTACCCTTGGAGGGAACGTACTTGTCCGCCCCATTTTCGGTGGTCATCGAGGAGAGGAGCGAGCGATGACATAACCGGCAAGCTTGGCCACAGTCCGGCCGGGTCCTGAGAAAAAAACTTGTGGACGACCAGCGGCATTTTTTGCCACTTTAATTCTATCCAGCAAGGCTTCCTCGCCTTGGTGCCCGTCCAACAGAAAAAAAAACAAGCCCCGTACATCGCGATTTTGACAAGTGTCCTGTGACGTCCTGTAACGTCCTGTACAGGACTGTACAGGTCGAAAAAGACCGCCAGATCACCAGACCACAGGCTAGGTCAAAAATTCCACCAGACATCCCAAAAAAAAAAAATTAGACCTATCCCTTTCGATTCTAGGGAGCATTTCTGCGAACTTTTTTTTTTCTTACAGGACAAAAAGATCAAAAGGTCACAAGACTTTTGTCATATTGCTGATGTAAGTAGCAAAATCAATCAAAAAAGCCATAAAAACGACGCGAGCAGGATTTGAACCTGCGCCCGGCTTTTATTACCAAGGTTTAAATCCTGCTGGCGTTGAATTGTATGTACGGTTTTTAGTTTTTGTTGCGCGAAATCATCTGTGCGTCAAACCGCATAATTTAGGGGTAACCACTCGGCCATCGCCACAAGCACGACTGCGCCCGAGAGCAAAACGACGCGCGCCGACGTTCGATCGCCAAACGACGCGCGGCGCAAAAGGACGCGCAGATATTCGCAAAACGACGTCCCATTTATTCCCAAAACGACGTTCCCTTTATTCGCAAAACGACGCCGAGGCAAAACGACGCGCCGATCAAATGACGTAGAATGACGCGCCGCCGGGCCGTTTCATTCGCAAAACGACGTTCCCTTTATTCCCAAAACGACGCGCAAAACGACGTGCCCTTTATTCGCAAAACGACGTTCCCGTTATTCGTAAAACAACGTTACCTTTACTCCCAAAACGGCGTCTCCGTAATCGTAAAACGACGCGCACGTATTCGCAAAACGACGTCCCAATTATTCGCAAAACGACGCGCGCGTACTCGCAAAACGACGCGCCGATCAAAATGACGCGGTGATCAAAACGACGTTCCTTTTATTCCCAAAACGACGCGCCCCTGGATCGCAAAACGATGTTCTCTTTATTCGCAAAACGACGCGCGGGCAATCGCAACACGACGCGACCATATTCGTAAAACGACGCGCACGTATCGATCGTAAAACAACGTTACAATCCCTCCAATCACAAAACGACGCCAAAACGACGTGCGCGCGCCTTCCCAGACTGTCATCCCAAAACAACACTCATCCCTCTAATCGTAAAACGACGCTGTCGCCAATCCAGCCACCCACCAACCACTCGGCCACCGCGTTACTTCCAAACGACGGCATCTCTGTCATCGGCCCTATAGTACTCATAAAACGACGCGGAAGGGCCGTCCTCGTCTACATAGTACATATTCGCAACTATGTAGTGGCTGTCTGTACTTACAAAACGACGTCCCACACGGGGGGGGAAGAGAACACACCAAAAAACGACACCCGTAGGATTCGAACCTACGCGGGTGTCCTGTGTCCTGTTGAACTGGTGCGAAACCCGGCGACGTTTTTTGTGCGAACCCTGCCGCGTAGTGTTGTTGGCAAAAGTCTGCCATTCTGCCAGCCAGGTTCTGCCAGCCAGGCAATTGCCGGCCGAACTCCATGAAGTCCGGCAGAACTTGGCAGAACTCTGGTGGCAGTGCTCCATTCGGCGACATTTTGTCTTGAATCCGCCAATTCTAGAGTGAAATATAGGCTTTGAAATTTCGGCTTGACACCCCAATGACAACCAACTGTTTTTTCAGTTCAAGTTATGGTTGGTGTTCAGTCTGCATCATGAGGAAACAAATCTTGATGAAGGTTTACGCCGATTTTTCAAGGGAAATTTGACCCGAAGACGCTCTTCAGAAACTCGGACACATGCAGGAGCCTTTTATTCAGATGTGCCAACTGTTTCTGAGAGGCTCAGAAGATGAACAGTGCGAACTCGGAGGGATTTCCTTTTTCGGTTCTGCCAGTTCTGCCGTGGCCGGCAATTGCCAGTTTTGCCTGGCTGGCTGGCTGAACTGACCTAAAACAGTTCTGCCATGCTCACTACCTGCCAGCGTCGTCGGCTACACATGGAAACCACTCGGCCGTCTTTTGGAACCACCCGGAACAAACAATGTGTTGAATTGAACAAATAAAGGTCTCATGTTCTCAGAAGGCGTTTCAATTGGAACAAATAAAATTCTTGGCCTCTCAACGCAGATAAAAACAATAAACCTCATGTTCTCAGAAGAACAAATAAACGTTTCAAGTGGAACAAACAAAACGACACCCGTAGGATTCGAACCTACGCGGGAAAATCCCAATAGATGACTAAGCTAGTTGCAGCCCCGGAACATTCTAATCTATCGCCTTAACCACTCGGCCAGGGTGTCTGTTAGGCTTCTGACTGATAAGAGTTTTGATTTGCAAGAGCCTGCCAACACGCCGAACGAAACTCCGCCCATCAAATGTCGGGCGGTAATGGATCTTGAATAAATCCGAGACTTTATTCGTTGGAACAGATAGGTTCAAATCCTGCTTGCGCTTCCGGAAATGTTCTAATCTGTCGCCTTAACCACTCGGCCATCGCGCCCTTGGGACGTGTAATCTCAGATAGCTGACCTGGTTCAAGGGGTGTGAGGATTAAATAACACCTTACCATTGACCACGACTCGCCTTCACCTGGTCCCATAAAACGCAGCCTACTGTGATTGGGGAACACAATTCCCCACAGTCAAGAAGCGTTCCTCGCGCAGAAAAAAAAGAAAAGAAAAATACGCATCGTCTTTGTAATAACCTAGCCCCGAATCGAACGGGGAACTGTGGTGATGGCATTGGCAGTAATCAAAGCAGGTGTGTTGATAATGACACCAGGTCTTGCTCACTGGTAAGCTGGGTGGGAATATACAAACCAATACCCATTCTTCTCTTTCTTTGGTACAGTACCCAAAATTCAACCTATCAATGTTTCTTCCGAGACGTCAAGATGTAACCAGGGCCTGGATGCGAAATGGACATATAATCACTTCATAGCATTTAACATTATCAAAAACAAAAGTGCGGGGTCTGAACCAAAAATCGTCCCTCAATCCAGATGACCTGGCCCCGACTCGAACAGGGAGCTCCTCTTGAACTCGTTCCTCAAATGGGAATTGCAACAGGTGTGCGAGGATTACACCACCAGGTCTTTCCCCTCATAGCTCAGTATATGGTGAGTAGCCCAACTCATTGACTAGGTATCCTCCGATTCACAAGTTTCCAGAATACTACCTCAATGCTCATCCCACAAAAAGCGTCGATTAATGCAAGTCAAAGCCAGTAAGAAGACATACAAAGAGGCAAAACAAAGCTTGAGATACATCACCTAGCCCCGAATCGAACAGAGGTCTCCTGCTTGAATACCTTCCTTGTGACCAAGTATAATAAGCAGCAGGTGTGTTACCAAACACCACCAGGTCTGTTCTGTTTCAGTACTCCTGGTATCTGAATTTGATCTGGAGCTAAGAAAGACAAATTCAACCGACCTCACAAGATCTTCGTTTTTGGCCCTTGAGGTCCGAGGAGATGCTAAATTACAGTATCGCAAAATCATACCATTCAAGGGACTGTGCCCCGAAAAACTGCATGGTTGGTTGAACCCGCCGAATCAACCTGAATCTCCTTATCTGGCAACCTGGTTCAAATACCCAAATTATTCTTCACCCACATCAACATCCATACTTCTGCCGAGGCCAAAATCTGTATGCCTCAGGAATATATCAAAGCCAGGGGCTTATTTTACAAAGAAAAAAAAGCATGTTACGTTATACCACGCATGACCCCGCCCCGATCGAACAGGGTAACCCCTGCTTTAATCCACTATACGAAAAGCAGGTGTGTGGCTGCACACCACCAGGTCATTTCAGTGCTTCCCGTTTGAAAATAAGAGCTGAAACTGGAGGCTTGGCAGAACCGGACTACTTGTGTAAGAGCACCAAAATCCGGTTGAACAAATTGATGTTCACTGTGGACAGTCTGCTGCCTGTAACCTCAGGAACTGCAGACAACAAGTTTTGAGCTCTGTTGGATGGGTCTCAACTCATGTGTCACTAGCACACTGGTTTTACTCACCCACTCCCATGTCACCTCGGTGCGAGGGGAAAGAATTCCACACTCTAGATCTGTTTCCCACGGTTTGATCTCGCCACACCGGCACACAGATGGGAGATATTGGTGTCTGGGTCAATCCCTCAATCAACCAATACCATAGAGGTGTTTATATATATTAAGTGGTGTCTAGGTCAAAGGTTTCTCAAAAGCATTCAAACTTGATTTCATTTCAAATAGCCTCGGATAAAAAAGAAACCTAACAAAACATTATAATTCTCGCCAGACTCTGAATACACCTGACTATAAAGAAAGTTTTCTCATCTTTAAGAACTCCCCCCAAAAAACTCCGTTATCTTCTTTGTATGACCCGACCCCGAGTCGAACAGGGTACTTCTGCTGAGTCTTCAGTGCAGGTGCATTAACATTACACTACCAGATCATAAATACCTCCCAATTCCAATCAACCAGGTGCTATTACTTGGAGTGAACCTGCTTTGGTTGAATGGGAGATTCCTTCCAATGAATTGGATATCTTGCCTTTGATTCGGATCCAGATTGAACCGTGAGAATCCAGCCGGCAAACCCCGACCTTGGACCAAGTACCGCCGAAAATGCCAAAACGGCAAGGGGTAATTTTTTTCTGCACATATTTGTGATCTGCAGTTAAACTTACACTTCTCTCCAGCAGGACGACGTCACATCATACATCCCGTTTCTTTTCTTTCCCAGGGCGTCTAAAACAATACAACTCAGTTACCTCTGGGCAAGCGACATTCTCCAGCGGGAACGCAGCACAGAGTGTGTTGGCCTGCCGCACCTCTGGCAGTGGCGGGAGCCCCAAGACGTTCCGCGACAAGTTCGTCGACGTGCCAAACACGAACGACGTCAAGCTGCCGGTGCATATCTAGACGTGTGCCACTGCGAGGAATATGAATCAGATGCTCCAGTTCAAGGCCAAACAAATCAATCCGAACAGCAGCTGCGTCAAATCGACGATGGACTTTCGGCCACTGGAACCCAGGGGGTGATTTCTTATTCCGTGGTGCATTGCTGTATGAGGATTCCTTTGTACAAATATTAATGCGCACACGAAAGAGTATTTGGCGCGCGCAAAAGAAGCCCAGCGCGCGCGAAAGAAGCCTGATTTGGTAATTAAATAATAAAGACCTCAACCTCAACATGAACCTACATAACTGTTTACCTGCTGTGGCCGTAGGCGGCAGGTTTCAGTGGCGGGCCAAGCGGCGACAACGACTCAAGGATCAAATAGTGATGCGATCAAAAGCGCCGTTGATGCGCCTACCGATAAAGGCCTTACCAAACTACTTGAGATTCGCGACACTCCGATTATGATACAAAGCCTCACCGATAGAACACAGATCCATTGAATTTTGAATGTATCACGGCCTGTCGTTTTTGTATCTATCTTATCTTACTTATCTTATCCTATCTTATCAGCACAATGCAGCCTGAGTTGAATAGTAGTTGAATTCAATCAATTTTGACCGTGCCAACACGTCAGGTACCTCCTAATAGTCCTACCTTTAAATTGAATCATTATATTGATACGCTTCACCTCAAGTTCCCCCTCCTTCATCGTTCCAGTGGCCAATTATGTGCAACACCATTTCTACACTGAAATCCTCAGCTATATTCTGGATCTTCCCCCTGGTCCCAAACGCTATTGCCTCTTACACCGGCTTTTCTCTCACCTGTGCATCGCTGGGAATTTACATTCTCCGCCGCCAACGACCGTCGGAGAAGTTGAGTCGGCTTGAGGACGCGATTGAACTTACCGAGGAAATTTTAAAACGCGCGAAAACGAGCGGTGAGAGGCAATTTTCCGTCCTGCTGGGTTTGGAGAGTCGATTGCTGCAGTACGCCCAGCCCACGCCATCATTCGACGAGCGAAATAACATTTTCAGGACCAAACTTGCGGCGTCCAAAATTCAGACGCGAATATTGAGGGCGGACGAGGATGAAACCTGGAATGAGTATCTGCACACTTTGCGTGGAATCCTACAGAGCATCGATGACTGCGCGCGGAAAGTCGATAAAATCCGCACGGAGACGTTCGTGAGTACCTGGATCAACATGAACATCACGAATCCATCTTATAAAAAATTGTTTCAGCTCGCCATGGAAGATGAGCGTCAACGCCAGATTTCCGAGAACATAAGGGAGTCTCATGAGGTGGAAGCTACAGCTTTCTTGCCCATTCGTGCGCTATCTGTCTCGCCAATGTCAAGCGCTAAGGATGACACAATACCGCAGATCATGCGCACTCTTCACGTCGTGGGCGGCAATCCTCGACGACCAATAATCACCTCCAGGGATTATCTATGTGAGTGAATGAGTCCGAACATCATAGAATTCGTGGACTCACAGTATGGCAGTGTGTAGCCACATCGGCCGGTCCCACTATTTTATTTCCTCGTCCCAGTCGTTGCTCTCCTAGTCCTGTTGCCCATTTCATTATCGTTTTTCTACTGCTGTGCGATGCTTTGCTAGGACGATATCTCGTTAGTTTGTATAGTTCATGTGTTGGCTTTGATGTTTATTTGATATCATGGACCATGCTTTCGACGCTGTAGGAATGGCGACTCGGATGTAAGTCAGGGCCGAGCCTTGAGCGAGGTTCAGTTAGTTTCCGCAACGAGAGGTCGCGGATTTCGGAACATGAAGGCCCCACAGTTTGTACATAGCCGAGCACTTTCATTTCCCGCGCCATTGCGGTCCTACGCAGATGGTGTAAGGACCTGGCCTCCGAAATGACCAAAGGGGACGAGTCACGGTGAAGTACTCGTGTCGAGAGGGATGGAATCCATGCGAGAATTCGAAGGTGCGAGATTTGTCTGTCATTGAGTATGTAAGCTCGGATGAACCGGGTAACGGCCCGCCTGCATCTTTTACCAACGACCATCATGCACACACAAACTGAGAGCAATCCGATCCCCACCGACGCCTGCTACGCCGTCAAGTGCGACAAGTGTGGCAAGACGACGTGGAAGGTGCGTTCCTTATATTCACTCCTCTCTCTGAATTCTCATCCGAGTACTAGGGCTGCGGCCAGCACATCGAAGCGGTAAATTCTGGCCAGAAACACGTCTCTTGGTCGTGCTGATTGTGGAGCATTTGTAGGTGATGAAAGACGTCAAGGACGAGGACAAGTGCGTCTGTCCGCGCGAGTAGCGCCGTCAAGAAATTCCGATATCGAGCTTTGCCTGGAATCTGTAATGTAGTACCGCTCTTTCAATACACACATAATCTCGAGCTCCTTCTTGACCTTTGAAAGAGAACTTCC